AGGAGCCCAGGGCCCTCCCAGGGGGTCAGTTAGGGATGGGCCAAGATGGCACAGCTCTCCGGCCCCGTTTGACACAGACCCTCTGTACTTTTTCCACTTGTGTTTCGTTGCTCCCCCACAGCCTTTTCTTCCCTCTCCCTTCAGAAGGGCAAAGAGGAAGACTGTGTTAATTAACTTCCAGCCTCTACCCAGGGTTTTCTAGACGGTTAGCTTGCCAACATTTTTTTTTTTGTCAGGAACCACTGTGCAAAGCGGGAACTGTTTTGGCATCACAAGCTCTCGCCTGGAAACTCGAGGGGAGCATGGCCAAGGCAGCCATTTTGTGGCCAAGGCGGCGTCCTGCGCACCCACCATTTCCCTGCAGGGTTTGACAAGACACTTGCTCTACAGCCAGCCGGGCCCCACAGTGGCACCAACAGGCAGGGCACTTCCTCGCCTGCAGAAAGTTCACAGGAACTTGCTACAGGAGATTTAGAACTGTTTTTCATCACTGTTGCCACACTGACCTTTCTGATTTCTGTCCTGAATTTTGATGGCCACTCTGGGGAACGAAAGAAATGTTACTAATGCTCTAAAATGGGAAATGGCATCGCCCGCCTTAAGTCATCTATTGCGTTCTTGTGATATTCAGCAGAATTGGCAAATAGACAGGGGCAAGTGCACAGAAAAAGCCTACTGCACACCTCAAAAAAAAAAAAAAAAAATCCCCAAACAACAGAAAACACTGGTTACTTATATCCACCCACTTACAACCCTTTTCTCCCCCCCATCTTGACTAAACAATACACAAGCCTTTGGCCTCTTTCTCAAGTTTAATTCACAGGGCTTTAGGGCACAGATCATAGATCAAATTTACAGCAGGGCTACTAAAAAATTAAAAATTCAAACTGTAAACCATGTCCTCTGCAGTTCTGGGTTCAAAAGCAAGAAATGAAGAAACTCAAAAAGGTCTCTCGCTCCCTCAAGAAGTATCATCGTCCCTTTTTGGGTTGGTTTTTTTTTCCCCACCTCTTTCCACACTTCCTGTCCTGGCTTTCTCGGGGGTTGCAGGGCCTAGACCAGGGAGCACAGCACCGATGTCTTACGAGGGCAGCCGATTTCCTGATGCATGTGACCTGCACACATCATCTCAGACTGCAGCTCACCACCTCCAGCCATGGCTGAGAACCCAAACTGCCCCTTCATGCTCTGGCAGCCTCTTTCCCCATTGGGAGCTCCTGCTCGGAAAGGCGCCTTCAAAGCCAGGCACATACAACCCCAGCAGCCATCCTGGTCACGCTCCTCAGTGCGCCTGCAGCCTTTCTGGAGTCTGTTTCCCAGGGCCTAAAATTACAAGTCTGGGGAAAATTTTCTTGCACACCAGGAAAGCAGAGTTGTGATGTTGCAGGGTGGTCTACCTCAAAAAGGGAAGGCTCTTTTAGTCTTCTGCTTCTCTTTGCCAGGACCTTCCCCATAGAGCCACAAGGTGAAACGCAGGCAGCTGGAGGATACTCCAGGATCAGTCTGTGACCTCCTGCTTTATGCTGCTGACAGGAACTGGAAGCTCTGTGCCTCCAAACTCTACTACCGAGGGGTCGATGATTTCTTCCTTTACCCGCACAGCAATGACTAGCAAGAGACAGAAAGAGAGAGGGAAAAATAAGTAAGTAAATCAACCCATGCTGCCTTGCTCTACCTGCAGCACCCCAGAACCAGCTCAGCTCTGTTTATGCAGATACTCAAAATGCCCCAGGCTTCCAGCCCACTTCTTGAGGGTCCCTTACCACAGGCAGCCCTGTCTTGCTGGCACAAATCTATCCATGGTCACAGCAGCAATCAGGATGGGACTAAACCCTGGCAGCATTCAGCTGCCTGCTCCCAAGAACAACTTCTCCTACGGCTGAGAGAGGAAAAGCCAGCGTGGTCCATTCTCTACCTGCCTGGGCCCACACAGGGGAAATTGAACCTTGGTGAGCAATGGGGACCTTCATGAGGCTGCATCCCCATGTGCACAAAGCAACTCACCCACACTCTTCCCCAACACCCACTAAGGTTGGCAGGTGACCCAGCTGCCAGATGCTCTTCTGGTCACATCTTTTGGTCCTCAGCGCAGTGGGCTGTGTTCACATGCTGCGACAGCCCTTATGGGGATGTGACAGCGCACTTTTGACATGTCCGTCTTGACTATCCTCCCTAACTGACCTTGCACAACCAGACTGCTCAGTAGGGCAGCCAGGCCCTCAGCAGGCATCAGCAGTATCAAGATATCCAGCTATACTGGTGTCACCAAACCTCCTCAGGAGGCAAAACTTCCCACGGAAAGCCAGCAAAGGCCTTCTTCCACTCTCTCTGTCTCTGGAGGAGTGGAGAAGGACATTTGTCATGTACTGCCTTTCCTTGCCTGGGGGCACCCATGACTTAATGGGCAAGAGGTAGCACAGGCCTCGTGAGGGCCGGTGGCATGCAGGGTGTACGCGAGTCGCATGTGGCTACTAGGTAGAGTAGCTCACTCCCTTACTCTCGAGAGGTGTTGGCTCTCGCAAAGCCTTGCTGGCAGCTTTTGCTTCTCGTTTCATCCTCAGGGCGGAAGGCTTCCTGACAGTCTGCTTGACGTTGCGGGTTTTGGCAGGTAACTTTTTTCCTTAACAAAGAGATAACAGAGCATGGGGAAAAGTGTGTTTCTTTTCCCCTGGAAAATCAGCAACCCTGCTCCACTGAGAAACCACAGGCCAGGGACCAGCACAACTGACCAGCAAGCTACATGGTCATTAGCTGCCAACTCGACAGAAATGGCCTACTGGAGAAAAACTCTATAGTCATCATCTCAAAATATGCTCCTCCATGTTCTCCTTCATTAAAGGCAAGGCACTTCAGTGTGTGCTTAACTTCCGAGGAGCGGGTCCTGTTGGAATCAGTCTAGAGTCAGCTTTGCTTACCTGTCTGGGTCTAGTCCTAGGCAATGGGCATGATGGCTCCAAGGCATGGACACTGTAGCATTAATGTTTTCATTTTTAGCAGACGTTTTTATTTATGTTGAACGTCTTTATATTCTTTAGATGTCCTTTCCTCTCCACCCCCCAGGAAGGAATTTCTTGCCTTTCTACACATGATTTGCCACAGCTAATGCAACAATGACAACAACAACGACAAGATGAAACAATAACATGGTCCAGCCCCGCTACTGGCCTCTTCAGCCATCTTAAGGCCTTCTTTCCCTCAGCACAAAGCAGGCAGGGTTGCTCTCCAGCTACCTTCCAGCTGCAGCAAACCATCTCCCTCCAACCATGGACACAGTGGGGAAAGCAGCACAACCTCACGCCTGGAAGCAAGCACCATCTATACCTCGGCCAACAGAAAACAGACTGCAAAACAGATCCTTCCCACACACACAGCTCTCTGCTCTCTTAGGCAATGGGGGCAGTTAAGAAGGATGAAGCTGTTGTCAAACCCACAGCTAACTGAGGGCATCCACAGCAAAAGGCCTCTCTCTCCTGCTCTGACGGGACATGGACAGGGTTCCTCTAACTGCGCCCAGCCTGCGAGCGAGCGGGAGGGCACTAATCAAACATCACTCACTCTTCTTTCCATAGGGTTTCTTCTTCTTCTTGGGCACCTCCTTGGCCTTCACTGGAGTTGTGGGCTCTGTCATGGAGACGAGAGGGAAACGAAAGCCAAGTCCCATAACCAGTAGGTAACTGGGATGAAGTGACATAAGCGAGAAACAAGATATACCCGTCCCCCCGAGCCAACGCCCTCTTCCCGAGACAACCAGCTGAGGGGAAAGCAAGGCTCCAGCGCAGTTGCTGTCTGTGCTTCCAGGCGAGGGCCCAGGGTGGCAGGCTGGGGCAGCATGGGGGAGAGAGGCTCAGTAGATATTGGCAGGGGCGGTAAAGAAACAAGATTCGTAGCTTGGGACAAGAAGGAAAACATCTGCAAAGGCGAGGCAGTGGCCTCCCTGCAACAAGGGAAGGAATAAACTCTTGAGAGGGATGCTCTTACCTTTTACAGACAGAGTCAGAGAATTGATGAGAAAAGGGAGCAGGGGCCGAGCTCCCCCTGTTACCTGGCTGAGACTGTAGGTACGCTTAATAAAAGGGAGCTGTGCAGGGATAGGACCACCTGGAACTCTACCTGACTTTATCAGGAGCAATTCTCTGTTGGTGTGCAGGTGGGGGAACAGAGGGAAAACAGAGCCAACCTCAAGTCTCAGGCTGTTTTCTCCCCACCACAGACTCCTCCTTCTGCCAGCTGCTAGAATGTGTGGCAGCAGAGGACAACTTATGGTAGCCGGTGCAAATCAAGGAGGCAATTTTCTCCTCTCTACAAGGCCCAAAAAGGAGGAGCCATTCACAGAGCAGGAGGAAGGAAACCTTTGCCTCTAATGTTAGAAACCACAGTCAAATCTTCACTCACCTGGAACAACAGGTGGTTGAAGCTGGTAGCCTGTCAGCTCGCACCACCCCACAGGATAAATATCTGGAGACTCGCAGTCCACCCACTGGTCATACTCGTTGTCCCAGCCATCAAAATGGATGCTAAGGAGACGGTGGACTACACGCTTCACTGTGGCCACACAGATGAGCCGGGGCTCCATCAGGTCCACTGCTTCCACCTTCATGCCTGCCTTGAAGCCATGGTTTGGGCAGTCCTGGGTGCAGAAAAAATGAAAAAAGAAAACCCAAGGCCATTGCACCCAGTCCAAACCCACACCCGGCCACCAACAGCCTAGAACAGCTACAGGCTTCAGCTTAAAGCAAGCAGAGAGAGAACAAGCCCGCAGTCACGCAACAGAACCAACCAGTCGCGTAACAGTACGGGGCACACATGAATAGATCCAAGGCCAGCTGTGTCCTTAGTGAATCTCAGCCCAGCCTTTAGAAACAAGATCCTGACCTAGGGGGAGCAGCAGGCAGCAGCTAAGGGACACCCGATCAAACCCATTAACCTGAGATAGCCCTGGGAAATCAGAAAGATCAGCACAGGCCCAGGTGCTGCAGAAGTTTTGCTGATGCAAAGCAGACCCGCTCCATCCAAGTGCCAGCCACATGTCCACAGGCAATAAGTTGTGCAGAACCCACCAGGAGCCTGGAGCTCTTGGAAACACTAGAGAATCACAGGTCACACTCAGAGGGACCAAGATATCATTACATCCACAAAGGCATGACACTGCTGGTCCTGACCAGCCAAACAGGGGCTTTACTTGGAGAGCGCACGCTTCCGTGCCTTGGGCTCTCCTTAGAAGTGCTGACTGGCAGAAAAGAGCAGCCCAGTAAAGACATTGGATATTGTCTACCCTGACTTCAGGAAGGCTTTTGACACTGTCTCCCATAAGATCCTCATAGAGAAGCTGATGGAAGTATGGGCTGGGTGAGGAGACAGTGAGGTGAACTGAAAACTGGCTGAGTGGCTGCGCCCAGAGAGTGATTATTAATGGCATGAAGTCTAGTTGGAGGCTGGTAATGAGCAGTCTACCCCAGGGGACAATATGGGGTCCAATCCTGTTCAGTGTCTTCATTAATTATCTGGATGACATGACAGAGTGTCATGTCAAACTCAGCAAGTTTGCTGGATACAAAACTGGGAGGAGAGACTGATATACTAGAGGGTGGTGCTGCCATCCAGAGGGACCCTGACAAGCTGAAGAAATGGTCTGACAGGAACCTCATGCAGCTCAACAAAAGGAAATGTAAAGGAGGAACATTTACATTGAGGAGGAACAACCCCAGGCACCAGCACATGCTGGGGGCCGACTGGCTGGAAAGCAGCTTGGCAGAAAAGGACCTGGAGGTCCTGGTGGACACCATGTTGAACATGAGCCAACAATGTGCCAGTTGGACAAAGAAGGCTAATGGTATCCTCGGCTGCATTAGGAGGAATGTTACCAGCAGATCATGGGACGTGATCCTTCCCCTCTGCACTGGTGAGGCCACACCTGGAGTGCTGTGTCCAGGTCTGGGCTCCCCAGTACAAGGGAGACATGGACATACTAGAGAGAGTCCAGCAAAGGGCCAGGAAGATGATGACGGGACTGAAGCATCTTTTATATGAGGAGAGGCTGAGAGAGTTGGGACTGTTCAGCCTGGAGAAGAGAAGGCTCAGGGGGATCTTATCAATGTATGTGAATATCTGAAGGGAGGGTACAAAGAAGACAGAGCCAGGCTCTTCTCAGTGGTGCCCAGGGACAGGACCAGAGGCAATGCGCACAAACTGAAACACAGAAGGTTCCCTCTGAACACGAGGAAACACTTTTTACCGTGAGGGTGACTGAGCACTGGCACAGGTTGTCCAGAGAGGTTGTAGAGTCTCCATCCATGGAGATATTCAAAAGCCATCTGGATGTGGTCCTGGGCAACCAGCTCTAGGTGACCCTCCTTGAGCAGCAAGGGTTGGACAAGGTGACCTCCAGGGGTCCCTTCCACCTAACCGTTCTGTAACAGCCAGAGCTCTTGTGCTCCTCCTTGCTGACTGCAAGCATCCCTACACATCTCTTGTTCCTGGCAGCACTCACTGTGTTGAAGAGCCGTGCTGGAACAGGTCTTGATTTAGTCTTTTCCAGGTAATTTTCCCAGTTGAAGGTCTGTGCATCTTGCCCTGCAGCAGGAAGAAATGGTCAGGGGGAAAAAGGCAGTCACTGGGCAGATCAGCTGGGAAAAAAGGCAGAATAGGCAGGAAGGAGGCATAGCAACTGGTTGCAAAGCAGTTTCATTAACCAGCACATACAGCCTGATCTTGGACGTAAATCTAGTGCACAGATTCCACGGCAGACCAGCACCCCCCTCCAGTGGGCAAATACGGAAAAGGGCAAGCTGCAACTTTGAACACCTGTGTCAGTCACATATCCAGACCACAGAGAAAGGTGAGGAGAAGCAGCAGATAGGAAGAAGTATGTTCAAAACATACCACTGAGACCAACCTTTCTCCCACCAGCATGAACATCAAAGGAAGACAGAATAGCACCGCACAAAAGTGCTGCAACACAGAAATTCAGAGCAGGCCTTTTTGGGTATGGCTAGACGAGGCAGTAAAAACACTCCTAGGGTGATCGCCTCTCAAGATTTTGCAGAAATATTGGTCTCAGATTTATTCATACAAGAAGAATAGAGGTGACTCCTGCCACTTAAAAGTACTGAGTCATGCAGCAATAGCTCTACTTATCCCTTCCCACCCTCCTTGTCCTTTAAACCTTTGATTCTGTTCAGTTTGGGGATCATACACCTCTCCCACTGATCCACCAGGAGCTAACCACCACGTCATTAACACCCTCTAGAGATGTTACTTCCTTCCATAAAGTACCAAGACTTGGTATATGGGCAGAGGTCAAATGGACTGGCTCTCTGAACCAGCCCTGTCTCCCCTAAAAACAGGCAGATTGGGACCTAGTGGTTTTGATTCATCTGAACCAGAAAAGCACAGCCCAGCAGATTCTGCATGCAGATTTGTACCACAGGGCAGAGTCCAAATCTCACCTTTTGGAGGGGTCAGATCGATGCTGTTCTTCTGACAGAAGTTGACAGGGAAGATGGCGTGTGAGGAGGCATGATAGCAGAACCAGTCAGAGCCATCAGCAGACGTGGCTCCATCAATGCTGATCATGAGATACCCATCCAAGAGGACCTGAGATGGGAGTGAAGGGCATGAGTGTAGAGCTTCGCTTGCTCTAAAGCCTCTCCTCTCAAATGATCCTCCCAAGAGTCGCCACAGATGGATCACAATTGCCGCTAGATAGTAAAATGCAATGTTATATGCTCCAGAGCATGCAGTAGCTTCTCCGGATATGTTAGTCAACACAAGCTAATCCCCAATGCAGCAATTTCTGCAGGACTAGGATCAACACCAATAGCCTTGTGAAAAGGACTCCGCTATAAATGGTCAGGAGTTCTGTTCTCCCTCAGAAACAGACTTTATTGGCAGCCCAGAGACCCTCTACACCAGCCAGGTCATGAATTTGTAACTGGACAGAAGGGAAGGGGACCACCTAAAACTTGCCACTTCCTGAACAGCAACAAGACTTGTCCCATCCTGTCACTCACTGGTAATTGGTGCCTACCAAATGTGACAGGCACGTCTGCCCCAACCTCTTCACATTTCCAAGCAATGGCTGAAGGGAACATTTTACAGACACAAAGAGCTTTCCTAGCATCCCCCTGCCAAACCCCAGGTGTCAAAGTCCTCTGCTTGGGTTCTACAAGGGCAAAGAGCTTCTTGAGGGAGCAAGAAAAGCCCAAGTCGATGCTATGCTTTAGGACATGCCATATCCTCACCGAGGAAACCTGACCAAGCAATTTACGTCTCAACACTAGCACAGGAGTAGAGCTCACCACCACGTCATCAAGAGAGATTGCAGGACACACATCCATGCTCAGCTTCCTACACCAGTGAATGCTGCCCATACAGACACACCCTATTCCCCACACTGAGGTCACCCCACAACTCTTCCCCTCTCCTTTCTCTCCTCAAGGCAGCACTACAGAAGCCTCTCTTTATGCACTCCAAGAACTGGAGAACAAATCTTCCCTGCTGCATGCCCAAGGGTGAAGAATGGGTGGCTGCCAGTCACCCACACTGGACAGTTAGCTTGCAGACCAAGCACGGTCATCTTCATGCTGTCCACTTAGGCACATGTGGACAACTGTTGGTCTCATCGGCTTCTCAGACCTCTGAGGTAATGCCCCAATTCCCTCCACACACCAGCTGCCTACTTCTCTTGACAGCCCTCTCCTCTCCCTCATCCAGAATTCTACCTGGTCTTATTAATTTGCAAAGACCTGAGGAGAGGCAGGGTTATCTCAGGTAAGCACAATAGACCCCCTTCTGCCCACTGAACTTACCTTGCAAACAGTGGCCACACAAATGTTGCCCAGATTAAGGGGGTCAATGGCCTCCAGCTTCATGCCTTCCTCAAACCATCCACCTTCAGCATAAACAGCTCGTACCTAAGGGAGAGTCCGGTATACCATGTGCTGTCAGGGGTATGGGACAGCCCCATCCTGACACCAATCGCACCAAGTGCAAACAGGATTAGAGCTTCTTTACTTGGCTCAACCCAAGTTAGGAGGGGAAAGAAGAAAAATTACAAGAAATACAAAGAGGCAGCCAAACCAATGCTGTGTTTGTGTCAGCAATCTCCTGCCAAGGCTCTGGTCAGAGTGCCAGGCCCAGCACTCAGCCACTGCTCCACAGCAAAGCAAGCTTCCTTCTCATATCAGTCCTTCCCAGTATGATCCAGCCCCTTGTCCGAACTGGTCTCTCCCATGCAATCGTCTTCCCTCTCCAACTCGAAGTTCCAAGCAACTGATCGCCCTTCAATTGAGTACCTCAATCTGTCATTGTTTTTTGGTTCTTCCATCTTTCTATTTTGACCTGCCCCTGCCCAACCACAGCCTTGACACCCCAAACACCTTACTGCCCTATAGCTGTAAGAGTGACAAACGAGCCATCCTCAACAACCCACACAGCAGCATATATACCCAAGGAAGGAAGTGGTATCATTGCTTCCTTTGCTGTGGCCAACCCAGAAAGGCAGCCTTTTCTTACCTTCTTAAACAGATAGGGGACAGCATCACAGTAAATCTTCCGGAAGGTGGGATGGTTTGCCATGTCACTGCGTTTTTCTTCTGTGAGGAATGGAAGAAACAAAGAGAGGTAAGAAACCTGCAGCAACTGCAGTAAGAAAACACATTGGCTATTAATTATCTGGTAAGAACTCAGCAGCTATAAAAAAGCGAGATCAGAGACCATGAGAAGAGTAATGAAAAAACACAGGTCAGTCCCTCTTACACCTTCCCATAACATGGGCTGTGATGCAGGGCTTGCTCAAAAGCAGATGGATGATCTTTCTGAGGGTTAGTGATAACACCTCTACATGCAGCTGTAATCACCAGGGAGAAGCAGCAAGGAAGGGAGACACAATCAAAAGGATCAGAAGGCTCAAGTCTTGTTTTTTCTGCCAGTCTAAGCTGATCAAGAATTCCTCTCTGTAAAGTCCAGAAAAAACACAACCTGACGGCATGCAGTCTTACAGAAGCCAGCATGAATTTCCTCAAAAACACTAGAAACACCTGTGATGTTGCAGACTCTGCATTCTCACACACTGTGGGGACAGACTACCTGCTTCAGGTAAGAAACCCTACAGCCCCCCCGTCCCGACCTGTGGCAGCAAATCGCTGGGCTTTTATCTATGCAGGGGGAAAAGCAGCAGACACACAACCGCATAGACCTTATCTGCCAGGTCCCAAGGCAGCTGCCTGGCTCCCAGCATGTCAAAACTGGTGTCAACAGCAGGCCCAGGCATCTCATAGCAAATCAGAAGATGCTTGTGGAGGCCTGATCCCTACCCGTCTTCTTCATGCTGTGGCCCACTCTCCGTGACCAGCCCACAGGATGGATGAGGGGACTCCACATGTGGCACCAGAAGTCATCATCGCTGTCGCCATCCTCATAGAGGAGTCTCAGTCTGCCCCCGATCACCGTGTCCACCACTGCCATGCGCGTCCGGGACACATGGTTCTTATCCACCACCTCCACCCGCATGCCTTGCCGGAACAGGTACTTCATGCTCTCCGCCATCTGGCAACAACCAACAGAGGAGGTTGGAGATCAATTGCACTTGGTGTTTTCCTTATCCAAACACTTCAGAGAACCACCTTCCCCACAGACATGCTGGCCAACCCCCTCCACTGCCCAAAGCTGACTGGGAGACACTTCTGGGAAGGGATGCATGAGAGTGGGTTCATCAGGGGGACAGGGAGCTGCCAGCCCCACAAATGACAGCATGGTTGGGCACACACCCCTTAAGTCTCCCCTGTCCTGTGGCCCCCTAACAGCTACCCCACCCTTGCCCAGCAGCCGTGCTCAGCCGGCACCTTGTGTGAATGTTCTGAGTGTGAGAAACAGATCAGAATTGCATGCCTTTTTCAGTCATGAAAGAGACCATAAGGGTTTCAAGGCTGGAAGCAGTTAGAGGTGTAGCTTCCCAAAGGGCAACGGGATTTTCAGTTGACTTTAAAAGAGGTCAGGCCCTTTTAACTCTAATCAGGGGTTGAGAAACATGATGATCTATCTGCCAACTCCACCTCCAATACCAGAGTTACTCTGCAGACTGACCCAAAGGTGTGGGCAACATGAAAAGAGAACACTGGCTGCCTTCTGGGGTTTTTTGGGGGGGGTTTTTTGGTTGGTTGGGTTTTTTTGTTTGTTTGTTTGTTTTCCTGAGACTTTCAATTTGCTGATACAGCCCAGCCTTACTCATCCATAAATACCCAAAGGTGTTTATAGAACACCTGACATTTTGGCACTGGAGAGCCCAGAAAGCTGTGCAGCAACTACGAGCCACAGCTCAGAACAGACTCAGACATCCATACTAGCCTGCACCTGAATCCAGAAGAACTTTTATGGGACAAACTTCCCCTTCCACCCCCTATTCATTAGGTGGGAGTGGGAGAAAGGTGGGGGGAGAAAGATACTGACATCTGTCTCCCTCTACCACATGCCTTCCATGGCGTGAGCTCCCAGCTACAAGGTGTGGCCCAGGAACAAGCAGCTACGAACATCCTCTCAACTTTCTGAGAAGCAACAAGGGAAACACCAACTATGTCAACGTCTCCAGCTCTATGTCACCAATTACCTCACACACAGGAAAACCCATCACCCGCCTTCCTGCCTGCTGTCTCTGGGACCGTCTTCCTTATCTGTGGTTTACTAAGTTGCCAGTGATAAAAGAGTCTCTTCTCCCCGACAAGGTCTAACCTCGGTGCAGGCTACACCACAAGAACTGTAAAGCTGGCAAGGCTACAGCATAGCTGCTTCCGTGCACTTCGAGGGAGCCTGCGCCCCTCTTGCTCCCTGCAGGCTGCCGTGCTACCTGAAGGCAAAGGTTTTTGACTCTCCCCAGCCATTCCCTAGCACTAAAACAGGGCAGGAAAAGCCCAGGTTGGAGCTGCATTGACCCCTCCCTTCAGCAAAAAAGCAAACTCATCCCCAGTATTTTCCAGCAGAGGTTGACATGACAACAGCTTTTAAAGCCCATCTATGACCCAAAGGAGAAATGGTTGTGCTGACAGGGCATAGGGGCTGTGCCATTACCTACCGCATCATGACAGGTGTCTCACTGACCCTGTCCTGCCCAGGTTTCAAGGGGACACATAGAGGAGTTGCACAGATCAGAAACAGAAGAGACGTGCTGCGCACACATCTCTTGGCTTCAGCTTCATTTCCACACATAAAATGACAGCCTCCCACATTTACCTTGATGTGGAAATCCACTGGGATGGTCCTGGCTCCCACCAGTTTTTTCATGAGGTAACTTCTCCAGTCAGTGTACTTGGCATGGATAGCTACATATGCACAGGGAAAAAGCACATCTTTATGACTGAAGGAATTACAGCTCCACACTACACCTTTCTTCCTCTCTGAGAGTCCATCTGCATTAAAAGGTCTTCTTCACATTCAGATCCTGTACCTGCTCTCAGGCAGACCCTGTTCTACAAGTTCGCCCCCACAACTGGCTGCAAGGGATCACCATTACAGAACGGACTGGTCCAAGCAGACACCCAACTCCACTGATCTCGATGTGGAAGTGGTATTAGAGCAAAACCACACCAGCCATACCAACCAAACCTCAGCTTGCCAGAATTCTGCTAAACTGGCATCCCTCTCCTAACTGCTAGCTGAGCAGTGACTGGATCCAGTGCACTCCCCAGAGACACTGTCCAGGATGTAGGACCAAAAAGTTCCCCCAAAGGTTAAGCCTAGCCACTGTGTGGGTCAGAAGGAGGAACAGCCACCTGCATTAGCCTCTGTCCATAGGTCTGACACCAGCTCTGCAAACAGCACCCCCAGGGTCAACCATAGGGAGATGCAGAGGGAGCAGTCCAAGCAGCCTCCAGCTTCTCAAAATGCTAACTGTTCCTTGTAACTCAGAGCACAAATGGACCTGTGGTCCCACATACAGCGGGAGCACCTGTCCCACTGCGCTACGCATAAACCAAGGCTTCTCCATGCCCAGGCACGTGCTGACCCCTCTCGCCCCACACTCACTTTGTGGTGGTACCAGGATTTTGCTGTTGATGGCACACCAGCCAATGGGGTGAATATCCACTGTACCCAAATTGCACCAGAAGTCATGGCCAGCATCATTCTCAAAGCCCTCATATCGCAGAAGGGCCCTGTACCCTGCCAGGACAGAGCAGACAACCAGAGAAAAGTGTTAGAGGCCAAGAATTTCTCCTCTCCCTGTTGGGCACCACAGGCTTAGTTCCTACAGCAGGGCCTTCAGAGCTCTGCATAGGTTATCAGAGCTTCTCCAGCCATACTGGAAGCAGAACCCTCCTCAAAAGAGCCCAGCAACCAGAAGAGGAATGAGATGCTGGTTTCCTCCCACCCCTGCACCGTGGTATCGCCTGTTCGAAAATGTCTCAGCAGTTGCAGAGCTCCAAAGAGCTGATGTTTTGCTTGACCAGCTACACTCAGCTCTCTAAAGCTTCCTTCAGAGGTTAGCCATCCCCATCTGTCGGGAATTACATTGGAGACATACCTACAGTCTGGATGACGGATGCAATCCAGTACACACGGCTGGGGAGCACGGCATCACTGTTCAGCACTTCCACTTTCATACCTTTCACCACATCATCCCACTGGTCGAAGAGTGGCACCTGAAGGATTGAGGCAGCCACGATGGGAGAGGGACATTGACAGTTAGAGCAGGGCTCAGGCCCCCATTCTAGCTTTCAGAGATATGTGTTAGGCAGCTACACTTTCATCTTAGGCCCAGTTTTGCATGCCTTACCCTTCCTATATGTGCCAACAGCTGGAAATGCAACCGAACTGTCCCAACATCTCACTGGGGTGTTCACAGAGAATCCCAAAAAGCAGAACATTGTACACAACACTTAACTATTTCAATGCCAGCTGCCCTATTATCCCAAAGTAGCTGCTGCCATTCCTCTATGGTATCAAAATCCCTAACCACCAAACTGCCGTGTCTCCTGACCTATCCTGAAGAAAAATAAATTTTTTTTAATATTATCACAGATCACAACTCAAAAGGAACATAACAAGTGAGTCTTAATACACAGACAGGCTGGGGCTGCTATAATACCTAAGAACTGCCATTCTTCCACGTATCTGCCTCAGCTACTTGGCCCACAAGGATTGCAAATCAGTACGACAGGAACCCAGACATGCTGGAGGGGCAGCTACTGCCTGGCCCACATAAGCTGAGTTCCTCCCTGCACATCAGCCTGGGCTGTGTGCTCACCCACACAAACTGCAAAGGCAACCGGGAGTTTTCCGCTATCCCCCCCAGTCAGAACTAATTCTGTCCCCAGCCAGCACTGGGCCATCACGACTGGCAGTGCTTCTACCACGTCCCCCTCTGCTTCCTCCCCCAAAACTCCTGGTCCCTCTGTGGGAGTCCCACTCTTAGCTGTGAGAAGCCCCAGCTTCCTTCCTTGCATCAGCTGGGGCTTAATAACCAGTTCCCCAGGTCTCTCTCCACCACTTTTCACAGGAGTACAGGAGAGTCCCATGCATATGACATGTCTCATGTGCCCTGCGAGGCACAGCAAAGAACTCACATGTTTGAAGCAGCTGACAGGAGCTGCCTTGAAGCCGTGCTCCTGCAGGTACTTTCCCCAGTCAAAGCCCAGGACGAGTGCTATAAGCAGACACGAGAGAAGAAAATCAGGTGAGATTATAGAAAAGGCACAAAGTGCTCAGTTACCTCTAGACTACAGCTTGCAGCTACATTGTGGCTTGCTCTGGGACAGAACCCTCTGCCCCAACACACAAGGACTCTGCGTTCCAGTGCATTTTCCCCGGTGGGGAACTAGATCCTACGAGTGCATGGGGACCAGCCCCTGCAAGAGGCACAATATATTATTAATCAACCCTTGCTGTCACTTGCTTTTGTGGAGGGGGGGGGCAGGAGGGGCAAAAAAAGGGGTCAAATCCAGCCCAGGGCTCAAGTACTCCGAGGAGAGAGGAGACTGCATCCTGTCAGCGCTAAACCGCTTAGCGGCTTTGCCTCTCAGCAGCAACACTGCAGGGTCATATCTGCAGCGCTTGCTTCCCCAGAGGGTGCTAGGAAAATCAGAGTGAAGCACTGGGATATTAATCCCACAATCACTCCTGATCCAAGGCTACAGCTCTGCTCCAGCAGCAGTCTGCTCAGGGATCAATTCCTGATTTGCCCTAACATAGCAGCTTGCTACTCCTTTGGCTGCAGTGACTGGTTGTTCCTCAAGTTGATCAGTGAGTGACTCAGGTCAAATATAACTCCACAGGCAATTGGGCAGCGAACGGCTAGGAGCAGCAGGACACCTTTAAGTCAACTTTGCCAGCAGAAGTCAGCACCTCGTGGGACTGTGACTACAGAGCTTACGCTCCAGGGCAAGTTACACCAGGAACGAGGATGAGGCTGCAATAGTGGATGGGCAGGAACCCACCAGGGCTCCGTTAGCACCAGAGAGACGTGCCCTGTGTCCTGCCAGCCTGGGTCAGAGTGATCCACAAACATTGTTTCAGTACAAGGCAGTGTACCAGAGGGGAGGAAGAGCAGACTGTAGAGCTTACAGCCCTCCAGGTGTCCCCATTTCTGTGGCTCCAGTAGCTGCATCTCCTCACGCCTCCTACACTCACCATCCTGGCCTGTCAGTGTCCCATCTGCCAGCTGCCCCGTTCCCTGCGAATGGAGGAAGGCCCCAATCTTGGCCGACCAGGCTGCCTTGTGCAGGACTTTAGCTTTCTTCGTTGGTGGCTTCCCCTACAAAAGAAGGAACATTAGGAACACCAGTGGCACAGAAGAGGAAGCCAGCAGGGCATGCATCTCTTCCTTGGGGTGACTTACAGGTTACTACAATTTTTACTAATGCTCACAAGAACAAGAAACAGCAGGTAAAAAATATCAATATGTCCCTCCTCAGCTTCTAGGGAGCACCACCTTTCAGCTGGCGTGCGTTCTCTGGGGACTTCAGGCAAGAAGAACAAGCCACTGGTAATGGCAGTCTGATCTTTAACTAGAGAGCAACCACAGGCACATCCTGCTCCATTCCCAGGGAAGAAGGAAGGATTTTGACTCACTTGCAGTCTGGCCAGGATGCTGGCCTTCTTGGAGTTTGAGGAGTAGCTTCTGGAGCAGGAGACACTGCAGAAACGTTTGGTCTTGGAGAAGAAAGCCTCCCTGGTGCCCACAATGCCACACATCTCGCACACAGCTGAGAGAAGGAAGGCACAAAAACGTGAGCGGTTGGCAGGGTCGATGCATTACAAGGACAGAACCAAGCCCAGGTAACCCTCATTGCACATAGCAGCTCCCCCAAGTAGCCCAGAAAATGCAGGCTCAATCCAGTGCTGTTCCCAAAGCATACTCAAGGTGCACTCATACACCCTTTGGCTCCCCCAGCCCTTTTGTTCTTTCCATCACACACGTGCTTTAGATGGAACAGGCAGGTAGGGTAGTACCTGGCTCGGAGCCGCTGTCCTCTGTGAGCCGGCCTGTGGACGGCTGGTGCACAGGAGAGGTCGGAAGCTCTCCAGCTTCCCGGTCTGCCACCTCATCATCACTAGACTCATCCAGACAGGAGCTGCTGTCACTGCCCATGCTGCTGTTGTAGCCCCGGAAGCTGTCATAACCCCCGAAGATGTCCAATTCATCATCCTCCTCATCGTCATCGCCCTCCTCCTCCATCCGCTCCAAAGATGAAGTCTTGTGGCCAAAAGTAGACACCAACTGAAAAAAGAGCCAGTCTGCTTTAAAACAGAGATTTTACCCCACACCCCACAACAAGCCTGCTTTCACTGCTGGGGGGCCTCCTGGACTGGGGAGAGGCCTCAGGGTGAGCAAGAAGTCCACTTAACAACCCCAGAGGCAGGAGTCTGAATCCCTAGCAGGGAAGCTATTCCCCCTGTGGCAGGGCCCTTTACAAGCATTTCACAGGCTGCATTCTGCTTCCTAAGAGCAAACAAACAGCCACGGAGCTGCAGCTACATAGAAAAAAGTTTGAGGAACGTGGAAAGAATACAGGGAACTACACTGCCATGCTGACAAAGACAGAGGAGACTGTGTCTTTCCAGGCACTGTCTCTCCCAACAACTGCACAGCAGTGCAAACACCATCAACATTAAAGTCATTGCAAACTTGAGCGCTGAGCACAAAGCTGCACACCCTGGCCACCTTAGCTCACAAGACCAGTACAGCCTGGATGTCAGCAGGACAAACTCGACTCTGGAGAAGGTTCATGTTCTTTGGAAACTCCATAGTCCACAGCCGACCAGTTCAGAAGCTGCATCAGCAGGATGACAGAACAATGTTTGTTAAGAGTTTTTCCCTATAACCAGATGTCTCCACAACTAAACATCTTCACTAGCTCTTTGTATTTGCTGTTACAGCAAGAGAGCAGAAAGGTAGTGATTGAAGAGAGCACAGAAATCCAGTGACTGTTTCTCAGACTAGAATAATCTAGAACTGGGCTCCAAATAAGCACAAAAGAAGCTGGGAAAAGGTGTTAGCAACTCATGAAAGAGCAGCAAGAAGCCAGCATCAACACAAGGAGCGATGGAACAGAAAGGTGGATTAGAACAGCCACATGAGGCACCAGGATACAACTGTTCATCCAAGCAGGCAACAACAGAAGATCAGCAGCAACTCCATCACCTTCCAGTGCTAAATTCCCTCTGATCCCCGGCTCCTGGGTATTATTACAGACACACGAACGGGAAGATCAGACATCACTCACTGCTTTCTCCCCACATCCTCCCTGGCTTTCACACAAAACAGACCCAAAGTACCCAGGTTGTTCCCTAAAGACCGAGCTGCTCTCCTGCAGATCCACATCCTCAGACAATATTCCTGAGGTCTGAAAGGCCTGAACTCCTCAAAAAAAGCACATTCAGCTCCTTCTCACCCCTTTCTGGGGGTGCACCTTCCTTCAGCTCACAGGAAGTGAGCATCTTTGGATCATTACTGTTCCACCAAACAGTATGAACGAAACTTGCAGACATGTTACAAGTTCCCAGGGCTGACGAGCAAGAACAGCATCACCCGCAACCTCCTCAGAGAGGCGAGGGGGATGCAGAGGCCCACCCCGCCCGGGTCAGACCCATCATCCCCTCCAGCACCAGCCCGGCAGCA